CATGTGTGTGGATGCCACCTGTCAGTGGCGTACAAAACATAAACTAACAGCGTCTCAGTCGGATTCGAAGTAGCAACGTCTCCTCACACACATCAAAGGATTAGCCACTGCACCAGCGGCCACTCTTTGTTATTTAGGACATGATGTCTTCTATATACTCTATCCGGTAATGGATTTGAATCCAAAATATGTATTGCGTGGGATTTGCTGCTTGCGTGCCTTTATCATCACCCCTTTTTTCCCTGTCCAGTGAGTACTGAAGAAACTCGGAATTTTTCAGTATTTTTTGTTCGAAGTTCTTGAATAAATTTCAAATTTGAATTTATTAAGTGCAAACACATCTTCATTTTTTCTATTAAAATGTTGAACATAACGCTAAAAGGGTCCACTTTTTTGCAAGATGGTTCACCCGCCATTTCACTTGGAAGAAAGTTGTTATGTGAAAAAAATATGCATATGAGCTCTATTTTACAATATTTGATCTTCTAAATAAAAAAATAAAAGACATTCAGTGCTCACCTGTTTTTTTAAAGCATTGAATATAACGCTAAAAAGGTTCCATTTTTGCAAGTTTGTCGCCTTATCACTTGTAAGAAAGTTGTTATGTGGAAAACATATGCATATGAGCTCTATTTGACAATATCTGACCTTTTAAATTAAAAAAAAGAACGATATCAAAATCGTTTGGTGCTCACCATTTTTTTAAAGGGTCGAATATAACGCTAAAAGAATATAACGCTAAAAAGGTCCGGTTTTTGCAAGATGGTTCGCCGGCCTTATAACTTGGAAGAAAGTCGTTATGTGAAAAACATATGCATATATATGAGCTCTATTTGTCAATATCTGACTTTTTAAATCCAATAAAAGAACAATATAAAAAACATTCTGTGCTCACTGATTTTTTGAAAAACATTGAATATAACACTAAAATGGCCCAGTTTTGCAAGCTGGTTCGCGCATCTTTTCACTTGGAAAAAAACTGTCATGTGAAAAATATATGCATATGAGCTCTATTTGACAATACCTGACCTTTTATATTCAAAATAATAATTTTATTTGACTAATATCAAAAACATTCTTTGCTCACCGAATTTTTGGGTAGTCACTGGACCAGGGGAAAAAAGTGGTGATGAGAGACGCACGCAAGCAGCAAATCCCGTGCAATACATATTTTGAATTCAAATCCATTACCAGATACAAAGAGTGGCTGGTGGTGCAGTGGCTAATCTTTGATGTTTGCTTGGA